TGTTTTTTCTTGGTCATGGGGGTTTTCTGTGGGAAATTTGGCCCAATTCTATCATTGCTGGGGTTCAGAATGCTCTTTGATTGTTGGTGAACTATAAATCCCAGCAGCTACAATTCCCAAATGTCAATGTCCAATTTCCCCAAACTCCACCAGTGTTCACATTTGGGCATATTGAGTATTCATGCCAAGTTTGGTCCAGATCCATCATTGTTTGAGTCCACAATGGTCTGTGCATGGATGTAGGTGAACTACAACTCCAAAACTCAAGGTCAAAGTCCACCAAACCCTTCCAGTATTTTCTGTTGTTCATGGGAGTTCTGTGTGCCAAGTTTGGTTCAATTCAATTATTGGTGGAGTACAGAATGCTCTTTTATTGGAGATTAACTATAAATCCCAGCAACTACAACTTCCAAATGACAAAATCAACTCCCTCCCCCAAACCACCCCAGTAATAAAATTTGGACGTATCGGGTATTTGTGCCAAATTTGGTCCAGTGAGTAAAAATAAAAATACAATTTACATTACGATTCATAGCAGTAGTAAAATTACAGTTATGAAGTAGTGATGAAAATAATTTTATGGTTGGGGGTCACCACAAAATGAGGAACTGTATTAAGGGGTCACGGCATTAGGAAGGTTGAGAAACACTGCTCTAATCTGTCAAGATCGTTTTGAATTCTGCTCCTGTCCTCTGGACTATTGGCTAATGGCTATCCCTCCCAGTTTGGTGTCGTCTGCAAACTTGATGATCATGCCTTCTAGCCCTTCATCTAAGTCATTAATAAAGATGTTGAATAGGACCGGGCCCAGGACAGAACCCTGCGGCACTCCACTTGTCACTTTTTTCCAAGATGAAGAGGAAGCATTAGTGAGCACTCTCTGTGTTCGTCCACTTAACCAATTACAGATCCACCTCACCGTAGTTTTGCCTAGCCCACATTGGACTAGTTTCCTTGCCAGAAGGTCATGGGGGACCTTGTCGAAGGCCTTACTGAAATCCAGGTACGCTACATCCACGGCATTCCCCGCATCTACATGGCCATATAGCAACAACCCAGTGATTCCGGCCACGAAAGCCTTCGACAATATATTGAAAAACTATCGCAAAATATGCTGCAGGATGTCCCGCAAAAACAAAGTTTGTGCAGGTTTAATTTTTCATGCTTTTATTATAGAACCAATTAGGAAATGACATTTATAATCCAGGAACAAAAAAATGTTACATAGTATAATAGGACTTGAGTATCTATAGATTTTGCTATCCATCAAGGGCTTGGAATAAAACCTGAACAGATACCACTGTATATATTTTGTTACTTTACACAAAATGCATACCAGGACCATCTATTTCTTTCTTCCCTGCCAGTCTTGCCCCTTGACCCAGTGCTACTTAAATCAGTGGTCCCTGAAGCACTGACAGTTTACAAGCCATCAGTTGTGAGTTCCTGGGAAGTTTCTGGGAAAGAAAGAAAAAAACTCGTATCTAGTTAATGAGCACCGATATGGTAGCAGTCTATGGAAAACTAGTCACAGGTCCGCAGTTTGGGTGTCCTCCTGGACTCATCACTTACGCTTGAGGCACAGGCATCGGCGGTGGCTGGGAGGGCCTTTGCACAATTAAGACTTGTGCGCCAACTGTGACCATACCTCGCAAAAGCAGATCTGGCCAGGGTGGTCCATGCCTTAATCACCTCCATATTGGACTACTGTAATGCACTCTACATGGGGCTGCCCTTGAAAACGGCTCGGAAATTTCAGTTGGTCCAACGGGTGGTGGCCAGGTTGTTAACTGGTGCTCCTTACAGGGAGCAGTCAACCCTCCAGTTTAAGGAGCTCCACTGGCTGCCATTTATTTTCCGGACCCAATTCAAGGTGCAGATTCTTACCTACAAAGCCCTGAACAGTTTGGGACCTGCCTACCTGCGTGACCACATTTCTGTGTACAAACCCA